CTTCCCAACCCATTTCCCCAGTAACCTAAGATTATTTACTATGTCTGCAAGTCTGTTTCTGTTCTGTAGATGAGTTCATAGTGTCCTTTTTTTTTGTTTTAGATTCACATATGAGTGATATCATATGGTATTTTTCTTTCTCTTTCTGGTTTACTTCACTTAGAATGACATCCGCCAGGTCCAACCATGTTGCTGCAAATGATGTTATTTTATTCTGTGTTATGGCTGAGTAGTATTCCATTGTATAACCATACCACAACTTCTTTATCCAGTCATCTGTCAGTAGACATTTGGGTTGCTTCCATGTCTTGGCTGTTGTATATAATGCTTGTTTGAACTTGGGGTGCATGTATCTTTTTGAGTTAGAGTTCTCTTCTGATACATACCCAGAAGTGGGATTGCTGGATCATATGGTAGTCTATTTTTAGTTTTTTGAGGACTCTCCATACCGTTTGACATAATGGCTGCACCAAACTACATTACCACCAACAGTGTAGGAAAGCTCCCTTTTCTCCACACACTCTCTAGCATTTATTGTTCATGGACTTCTGAATGATGGTCATTCTGACTGGTGTGAGGTGTACCTCATTATAGTTTTGATTTGCATTTCTCTGATAATTGGTGATATTGAGCATTTTTTCATGCTCCTATTGGCCATCTGTATGTCTTCATTGGAGAATTGCTTGTTTGGGTCTTCTGCCCACTTTTGGATTGGGTTGTTTGGGTTTTTTTTTTAATTGTATGAGCTGTTTATATATTCTGGAAATTAAGTCAGTCACATCATTTGCAAATATTTTCTCCCATTCCATAGATGGTTGTTTTGTTTATGGTTTCTTTTGCTGCGCAAAATCTTATAAGTTTAATTAGATCCCATTTGCCCATTTGTTTATTTTTGTTCTCATTTCTATTGCCTGGGTAGATTGCCTTAAGAGAACATTGCTAAGATTTATATCAGAGAAGGTTTTCTTCTAAGAGGTTTATAGTGTTTTGTCTTATGTTTAAGTCTTTAAGGAATTTTGAGTTTATTTTTGTATATGGAGTGAGGGAGCGTTCTAATTTCATTGACTTACATGCTGCTATCCAGTTTTCCCAACACCACTTGCTGAAGAGACTGTCTTTTCTCCATTGTATATTCTTGCCTCCTTTGTGGAAAGTTACTTGACAGTAGGTCTGTGGGTTTATTTCTGGGCTCTCTGTTCTGCTCCATTGATCCATATGTCTGTTTTTATGCCAATATCACGCTGTTTTGATCACTGTAGCTCTGTAGAACTGTCTGAAGTCTGGGAGGGTTATTCCTCCAACTTCATTCTTTTTCTTCAATATTGCTTTAGCAATTCTCAATCTTTTGTGATTCCATATAAATGTTAGGATTGGTTGTTCTAGTTCTGTGAAAAATGTCCTGGGTAATTTGATAGGGATTGTATTAAATCTGTAGATTGCCTTGGGAACTATGGCCGTTTTAATGATATTGTCTCTTCCAAACCAAGAGAATGGGTTATCTTTCAATTTCTTTAAGTCACTTTTAATTTCCTTGGTGAATGTTTTGTAGTTCTCCCCATATAAGTCTTTCACCTCCTTGGTCAGATTTATTCCTAAGTATTTTATTGTTTTGGATGGAATTTTAAAAGGGGTTATTTCTTTACTTTCTTTTCTTGCTAATTCATTGTTAGTGTAAAGAAATGCAACTGATTTTTGTATGTTAACCTTGTATCCTGCTACCTTGCCAAATTCTTTTATCAGATCTAGTAGTTTTTGTGTGGCACTTTTAGGGTTTTCTATATATAGTATCATGTCATCCACATATAGTGACAATTTTACCTCTTTTTCAATTTGGTTCCCTTTTATTTCTTTTTCTTGCCTCTTTGCTATGGCTAGGACTTCCAAGACTACGTTGAATAGAAATGGTGAGATTGGGCATCCTTGTCTTGTTCCAGATTTTAGTGGAAAGGCTTTCAGTTTTTCACCATTGAGTATTATGCTGGCTTGTCATATTATGATGAAATGTGTTCCCTCTATACCCACTTTGGTAAGAGATTTTATCATGAATGGGTGCTGAATTTTATCAAATGCTTTTCCTGCATCTATTGAGATGATCATGTGGTTTTTGTCCTTTCCTTTGTTGATGTGATGTATCACATTGATTTGCGTATATTGGACCATCCTTGTGTCCCTGGGATGACTCCAACTTGATCATGGTGTATGATCTTTTTTATGTGCTGTTGGATTCTGTTTGCTAATACTGGCTGCTAGAACTTTAGATAAGACATGCATATTCCCAGTCTCAGGAAGAAAATGGCCAGAGAAGGACAAAAAGGGTTTTGTTACTGGTTTTAGCTAATGATTTCTCTTTATATCCAATCCAAAAGGCCACTAGGAACAAACAAGATTACCTACTATGTCAGATAGGGTGCTTTGTGGTGCAAACAGCAGAAGACCCAGCTGAAAGAAAATTTTCTAAAAATGGGGAAAATTCTTTACAGATGAGTAAAGTTTGAGAATTAATTCAGTGGCTCAATGTTACCAGATTATTTCCTTTTCTTTTCTTTTTTTTTTTTTTGTTTTGCCTCCTGTAGAGTATTTACTTGGTGCTCCTAGGGTGTTACCCCATGGTTACAAGACGGTACAGCTCCACGTGTCACTTATTTATACAACAGTGACCAAAGGCTAGAAGAGGCAACTCTGTCTTCCATACTAAAAGCAACCATGGCAAGGCGAATGGCGTTATCATCACTGGATGGTTGACTTGGACCAGAGAATCCTAGCTGGTGGGCAGTGCTGCAGTGGGTGACAGTCCTGAGACTGGGTGGCGCCTGGGGTGCCCAGAGTCTCTCAGGCTGATTGCCTCCCCGGGTAGATAGAAAACAAGTAAAAGTTACCATATAAAAAGTATATCCTACGAGGGCATTGATACAAAAAAGGACAGGAAGCAATGGCTAAGAGTAATAGAGCCCCTGGGTCTAGATAGAAGACCACACACCCTGACCATCAGAAATCTGAGCAATACTCTGGTTCTATCAGAAGGAAAAGGGGGAGGCAAAGGAACGTTTGCCACAGCTATGAAAGAGCTGGAATCAGACTGCATTAAAATTCGAATCTGTATCTCTAGAAACAAGACAATAGGACCCCTGCTTTGAAGAGGGGAAGGAAAAGAACTTAAACCTAGAGCTTTCCACACAGTAAAACCACTGCAGGTGAGGCCCACAGGGAACGGATGCGGAGACGGAGGGCAGCCCGGGGAGTTTGGTCAGGAACCAGCCCTGTCGGGGGAAGGGAAGGAAGCAAGGTTAGGTGAAGAGTGAAACTGGACTGCACTGGAGCCCTGGCAGAGGCCGCAGCAGACCCCAGCGGGAGCTCTCAGGCCGGATGGCCTTCAGAGTTGCCCTGCATTGTGTGGGGTCTTTCTACTCCCATAATATGGACCAGTCCCTGGGTGCAGGATGCCCCCAGGAAAGGGCATGCAACCTTAGATGAGGCAGCTTCATCCACCTGGGAGCCATTTCTGGAAAAGGCTGAAAGGCGGGACTCCTAGCTGCTGGGGAACTAAGTTCTTTAGTCGTAAGGGAGGGATGTGAGGGTCACATCCCAGCACGGAGCACAGGGATGAACATTTATTCGACAAATATTTTTTCAGCACCTGCTAAGTGGCAGGCATCCTTTGAGGCACTTGCTTACGGGCAGACAAATCATAAATGTAATAAGAAAGTTATATAGTTGGGCATCGATCAGCGTTCAGCCAAGAAAATCAAACCACCCTAGGATTTTCAGATGGAAGGAGTTTTATACAGAGAATTAATACAGGTATTGAAAGAGTGAGGGAGCCAAACAGGATGTCATGTGCCTAGAGTCAGCAACAGCAGGACGCTGCTACCATCTCTAGGGCCGGAGCGACAAAAGGAAGTTGCAGTTTTACCAGAACCTAGAAGCTGAGGCTGCTGGTAGGAGCTGGAGGCTCCGTGAGGGCAACCTGGAAAGCACTGGATCACAGAGGAAGGGGACGTATGCAGGGAGGTGGAGTCACGGGGAGGACATCGATGTCGTAGGAGGCGCCCCAGGAAGCAGAGAGGGGAGGAGGACCCCAGTCTTTTTCATCTTTCCATCCTCAGCCTCCTGCCAGTACCTCTCATGGGCTGGATCCCCCAGAAGCCAGAGGGCAGGG